TAGATTCTGGCCGAGAAGCTGAGCTGCTGCTCTTATGCGCTTCTGGTCTTGAGGATGAGGATCCTTTTAAAAATTGAGGGTTCTTTTTCCTCTCTTTTTCATTTTTCCAGGAATCCTCTTCCCACTCTTCCAGTTCCCGGAAGGAAGGAAGCTTCCCACCATCATGGTCTAACTTCCTCCGCTGATGTCGGGTATGCGGAGGAGTTCGATCACGAGGTGGTGGCATATTTTGTGCCCTCATCGCCTCCATGAGCACTGCCAGCGCTCTTGCCACCTCTTCCGAGCTGGGCCCCGTCAAAGGGGTCCTCGGCCGAGTATGGGAATGAGGGCGCGCAACCGATGGTTGGCTTTGGGGCACTGAATGTGTCCTATGATCGGACTCACCCCTGCTAGACCGAGAGTGACTCGGCCTATAATGAGAGTCATGAATTACGGGAGAAAGGGAATCCTCCTTGTATGATCCTCCCCCCGAGCTGGCACCCTTGGGAGAGTTCCGGTCCGGCGAGGGTGATGGTGTAGGGGTTTTAGGCTTTTCGCCCGCTCCTTGACGGAGGCTTTTGCTCTTGCGGTTCTTAGCCATTGCTACTAAGATAATTGCAAGATGATCTTGGTTAGAAATTTGGCTTAAAGATTTTTGAAAGTCGTCCCCACAGACGGCGCCAAATTGTTTCGGGTGAAAACAATGGGACCTTGCCGAAGGTCCGCTGAAACGGAGAAGACTGGATTCGGTCCAAGTTATGCTGGGCCGAAGGTTTCCTGCACAGTAAACACACGTAAACTAGCCTCGGGGGTGTTGCCGAGGAAGGCCCCTCCGATGCTAAAGTCAGTACAATGTGTAGAAAGAGAACACTATGCAAGAGAATTAGTTGCTTGAGGCTTTATTTGAGTATATCAGAATATATGAATCTATGAATATATGTGAATCTGTCAATCTGTGAATAATGTGCCTGAATGTATGAATACTGATGGCTTTTATACCTCTTCATACATGGAGAGGTTGGGCCTTAGCCCAATTGGCTTGCTTTGAGGGCTGACCTTTGACTTTAGCACAATTGGAGAGTTGAACCTTGACCTTAGGCTTTTAATTGGATCATTTAATGTCTAGGCCCAATTGGACTAAATTGGACCCAAACACTAAGTTATTTTGAACTATATAGTTATATGACTTATATCGATCGAGAGTATTGATTTGTTTACTTATTATATAATTATGTTTGCAAATGTGACACTTTGATGGATAATTTGTGTTATTAAAATAGAACCATGAGTTTTTTTGGTTTTCTTGGGGAAAGTAGCTGGGCAAAGTGATGAACATCTAATCACAGCCTTTTGACGAACTGGCCTGCTGGTCATGGTACGGTCTAGGTCTTTAATAGACTCGTGGTCATCACGGGCGCTTAATAGGGCAAAATAAATGTGGTGCGAGCTTGTGGTCGTGGTTTCCGAGCTTATGCTCGTGGTCTATTGTGAAAGTCTTGCAAAGCTGTAAGCACTTGGTTTTTAAGAGGCGATAGCCCCTATAGTCTAGAAACTACGGTCTTGTGACCTCTTTTTATTCGCGTTCATTTTCCCCTACCTCTACAAAGTAGTTATGATAGATGATGATTTTAATCAAATGATATGGTTGTATATACATATTTTTGAAGTGTGAAATTGCTTGGAAAGAAAGCATATATTGAGAAAGAGTTATTGCTAAAAACATCAAACATCAAATTAGATCAGATTGCCATAACCAAATTAGATCAAATTTCCATTAACAAATTCAAAATAACTTAAGCAAAAAAGTAATCATCTTCCTATTAAAGCCTGTAAAAGCATACTCAATGAAGATGTTCAAAGCATCAATTGGTACAGAGCCAAAAAGCAGGGATAAACCTTTTAAAAATTTGTGATGCAAACTCAATAAACTATATTGAGTCGAAATGTTTTAAATAATACTAACCTTAAAAGGCGTAGTTCTTAAGAAAAAACATAATTTATAGTTATATAACATCATTAAACTAAATAAATACTAATACGATATTTTATCCTGATTAATAGTCACATGAATCCTAGTGCCTACATAACAACAAATGAATATCAATATGATATATGTCTTTCAAAATTCCATCACTCCTACCCGACCTAAATTGGTTTTTACTAAAAAGGATCGGAAAAAAGAACATATGAAGATAACACTCTCTAAGTTATCAACCCAATGAAAAGCACTTGGTATGTCCTGTGACACATCGAGCATATCATTTAGTGCTGTTAACACCCTGTCTAAAACCTGCTTTGTAAATTTGAAAATTGGAATGTCCGACGTGTCTACGAAGAAGCTAACTGATCAGTTAATTGAATAACTAATGTTGTCAACTTGTCAGTGAGACTATACATGGACATTACTTAGCTCCTTGTATTTCATTTTTGTATCCCACTATTTTTTCCGATACATGGGAATTTTCCTTATAAAGTGGGGTTCCTAAGGTTTCCCCCATTTTTCTTAACTTATAAAAATGATTTTACAATGTCTTGACCAAATTCTATGAATCTTACATAGCCTTTAAGGCATTAACTTGATTGCAATATATTTGTCCTATATTTGTGTTTGTGTGGATGAGTAACAAACACACTTAAAATTATCTTGCAACTACATATGTACTAGTAGTACGAAATCTCATAAAAAGAAAATATAAAATGGTGACATGTAAGAATTGTACAACAATATATGTGACTTGTTTGAGGTGGTCCTAATTAATACTAACCTAGAAAATTATTAATAATAAGACATTTAAAATTATGGGTATCATTTTCAGAGATTTATGTCATTTATATGGTACACCTTTAGCAAAGTGTGACTTGTTTGAGTTGCTTCCATTACCAAAAATAATTTTCCTCAGATCACCCTCAACTTTTTATTTTGAGCTTGATTTGCTTATCTATTATTTTTGAGTGGACCACTCAATCAATTCGGCATCTCAAATCAAATTATGAATGTGTTTATATATATACAGTAAAAAAATCGTGAAGGTTTAAGTCTGTTTAGGGTGATCTTTAGCATAAAATATAGTTCGTCATATATCTAGAGTATTCTAATTAATTAATAATATGCAAGTGGGGTATTATTATCAATTTAAAATTTTTATAAAGCATAAGTGTGAGAGAACAAAATAATAAGATATGAGAGTAGAGGCCATTAGGGAATATATACAAACAATAATGAATAGTGTAAGATTTTTAGAAATGGAAATGGGACATTTATTTTGGAATGGCGGTTTATATATATATATATATATATATATATATATATATATATATATATATATATATATATATATATATATATATATATATATATATAAAAGACGATTATTTTGAGTGGAAGTATAATTTTTTTTTCTAAAGAGTCGTAAAGACAAGTGATGAGAATCGATCCCAAAGAGTCACAAGGGCAAGTGATGAAAATCAATCCCTAAATCTCTTGAAATATCGGAAGCTCTAACCACTAGAGATTTGAGCTATCCCTTACTCTCAAAAGAAATATAAAATGTAAGCTCATTAAACTGATTCAGAGAAGAAATAAATGTTGTTTTGGCTGGAGGGCACTTCGAATGGCTATCCCTGTCAGAGCCAACCTGAAAAAGAGGAATTTGTGAAGATGACTTGTGTCCTATGTGCGGCGAAGCTCCTGAAACTATTGCTCATGCTCTTTTGTTATGTGATGTGGCCAAAGAAGTGTGGTATTTCTCCCCTCTTAGACTGGTTTTTCAAGATGAGAATTGTCAGTCTCTCTTGTCTTGGTGCAAGGCAAAAGGTGAACAAATTAAAGATAAACTCTGGTGGGATAATTTTTGGAGTATACTTTGGGGAATATGATTGAGGCGGAACTCATGGTTGTTTGAGAAGAAGGATACTCAGGTGGTTGATGTCATTAGGAAAGCAACAGGCATTGTTGGTGAGTATGAGAAGGCAAACTCCATTCTCCATTATGAGATTGCTAATAAAAGTCTGGTGTCTCAAGCTTGGAGCCCCCCAGCTGCTGGATCCTACAAACTAAACTCTGATGCTGCAATTTTCAAAGATGAAGCAATTGGATTGGGGGGCATTGTTCGTGACTGCTGTGGGGATGTTATGCTCGCAACCTGCTGTAGAGTTAGTGGCAGCTATGAAGTTGATATCGCTGAAGCCATGGCAGCAAGGCATAGCATTGGGATTGCTATTGATGCTGGCCTCATTAGACTCACTCTGGAATCTGATAGCCTGAAGCTGATTTATCACTTAAAGAGCAAGAAAATGGAGAACTCCTACTTTGGTCGTATTGTTGCTGACATTCTCCATCTTGCTAGGGCCTGTACGTTCTTTGAAGTGTCTCGTATTGGCAGGAAAGGCAACGGTGCAGCTCATAAATTAGCTCATATTAGAAAAATTATGTAGAAATGCGAGTTTGGATTGAAGAAGTTCCTGATGATGTAAACTCTGCTATTGCTTTTGATTCCGTTAGTGAATTTCCATAATAATATATGAGCATTTCCCGTCAAAAAAAAGAAAAAAAAAAAGAAATAAATGTTGCATATTTGACAAGATACATGATATAATTTTGTGAAACTATTTTTCTAATGTAGTGGGGTATATTAGAAACCTCCATCATGTTTACAGTTATATGTGGCTATTAATTCTCAATCAAATATACTAGTAGATTAGCTTGCAAGTGTAACAAGATCCGTAACATTGAAGTTTGTGTATAATGACAATAATATAGATGGAATATGTACTTATGCACATATGAAATTGAAGGCCATTAAGCATATTATTGGAAATTTTTATTTTTTTATATATTTTTTTCTATTTTTGACCATAAAAATCATAATTTTATTTTTACATATAGTATATTTGAACCCATTACCTTTGTCTCTTATGAGTCTTATCATTTCTACATTTTAAAAGCGGGGACTACATATTTATTTAAATAAATGTATAAATATGTCCTTAATTTATAAATTTCACTTTTAACATATTTAATTAAATAATTTAAATTTCTTGATAATCCATTAAAAAAAAATGAAAAGTCTAATTTACTCTAGAGCTTTACCAACCTCTCAAATGATTCAACTAGCTCTTGCCAAAATTGAAAAAAATAAATAAATAATTCATTATTCCTCATTTAAATAGCCCATTCTTTTTTTCTCTCCCTCTATTTCGCTCCCCTTCATCCAACCTTAAATGGATTCAGAGGTTTTCTCATGTTTTCTTTGCACTTCAACTTCCAAAACATCAAAAACAACTGATCAAATTCTAGAAAATAATGAATCAAATACATCATCTTTATCTTCAAACACCTTGAGAAGCTTATCAAAAATGGTTCTTCCACCATTGGGTGTTTCTGGCTATAACCACAATGATGTTGTCTCTAAAGGTTGGATCCTTTCTCCTACTAATTCCAAGTATAGGTATATTTATTACTCCCTCCGACCTTTTTTCTCTGTCTCATTTGAATTATTCGGTGTTCATATCATAGCCATTTACATTATAACATTAAAATAATAATAAGTTGATATATCTGATTACACAACACTTAAAAACTTCCCTATTTTTTTCAATGATATAAAGAATAGTTGGCTTAACTTGTAGGGCAATGATAGAATCGAGCACGGGCTTGATTGTTATCATATATTTTTCATTAACTATAAAAATTTGGGGTGGGTTGTTAAGTCATAGTTAAATTTTGTGTTCTTTAAATAATGTACAAGAATTTTATGTAAAACATATCTCATGATCTGATTATGAATATTGATGTAATTAGTCTATACACAAGTGGAGTAAGAATATTAAAAAAAATTCTATAAAAATATAAAATTTCTTTTTAACTCGACATTGTAAATGAGTTTATCACTAATATCAGTATTCACTATTGTCTTTACTTATTTATTTATTTTATTTATTTTTACAGGCAGAATTAATTATTGTCAAATAGGGGAATGTTATATTATTTTTAAATTCCCAAACTACATAGGTACTTACATATTAAAAAAAGGAGTAAAAAAATAAATAAATATCCGAGCCATGTTATTTGACTACTATTAGTTTTTATATGGTTGACACATGAATAATAAACTTAATATGAGAAAATGAGTTTCTTTTCAATCAAATTCGAACTTTCAACCTAACAAAAATTTGGAAATTTTATGATTATTGCAATCAATGTATTATTTTATTTGTTTATAAAAGACGACCACAAAAAACATAATGGTCCCTAAAGGTTGAATAATAATCTGAAGCAAAGGGACGTCCCTAGCTAGGTACTTAATTTCCCCACATCCGCTGGTATAGAAGACGATACTTATCTTAAGTACCAACCCACTTTTGTTTGTCCATAACTTCACTTTTATTATTCTTCTTTGCATCTTTATATACACGTATCTATAGATTTGTCACGTTACAAATATTTTATTCCATCTTTTGGCATTATAAAAGAAAATAAAATGCCATAAATTAATTTTTGTCTGATTTTTTATATAATATTTTAAGTAACTAAATAGATTAATCATTAACGTGCAAACGAAAAATTTTGAGTCATTTAAGATGTGTGACTTCCCTAATCATATCACATGGTTTCCTTGCTTTAGACCTATTTTTTTTGGTGATCTAATTTTTACTATTTTGAGTTCTAACGCACTAAATAATAATGTAGCTTCCAAATCCTAGAATCTTAAACTAGATAAATAGTTTATGCAATTATTTGAAAGCTATAGTGCAAATTTAAATAGTTTTGGTACTATAAATTTGAATAGAACATATGTGCATGATTGATTATTAAATTTACTTAATCTAGTTTTTAATTCTTTGATCAGATAGGTGAATATAGCTAGCTAAGAAAATGTGAATTATTACTATTTCAATTCATTAATCATCATAAAACTACTCAAATACAATTGCTATTAAGAAATAATAATCACATGTACAAATTTTAAATGTCGTATAAATTTTATATGTATTTTTTTTTTCTTTTTACATGCACCTTTTTTTACCCAAATTCCCAAATGTGGTCACCCTTTTTCTTTTTGCATGCACTATTTTTACCCAATTAAACTCCCAAAGGTGGTCACCCTTTTCCCATCTCCATTATAATTTAATTTTCAGTTTTATCTCTTACTCATCTAGTACAAAATTTAAACCATATATGAGTATACAATATAACCACCCTATTGATTCAAAATTACAACAATACCATATCCCACCACCCATACTAGGTAGCTAGACTAACTACTCCTACTTAATACTCACCTCAACTCACATATTATGTGCCCACAATAATCTACCTTTTCATTGCATCCAGCCTAATCAATGTTGCGAGTATCACTTTATTCTATAAAAGGAAGTTTTATTTATTTATTTATTTATTTATTTATTTATTTATTTATTTATTTTAAAATTAGTAAAGTTATATACTTTCGTTGTTTTTATCTACTTACAACACGCTTTGTTACACCGATTAAAAAAGGTTTATGGTTTGGTTAACCTATACAATTTAACCCATAACAAGCAGAAAATTCTATGATAGTCATCCTTAAAATGACTACTGTTATACTAATTTTTTATTGGCTGATTTTTAGTTTATTTATTATGTCAAAATTAATTGTAAATGTTTTTTCTTATTTTTAAAATTATTTTTTTTCTATATTTTCATAATTAATTTATGAATTATATTTTTATTTAAGTAACAATAAAAACTGAATTTTGTTAATTATTTAGGAAAATTATAAATGAGTTATTTCAAAATTAATAAATGAAGTTTAAAAATTAGATAAATGATTTATAATTAATTTTGACGTTAAAAAATAAATCAAAATTAGCCAATAAAATGTTAGTATAATAGTAGTCATTTTAAGGATGACTACCATAGAATCAACAACTTAACAATCGTTTTAATTAATTTTTCTGTTTATCTAGTCTAATATTTTCCGTAAATTGATGAATGCAGATGTTGGGAGACATTGATGGTTGGATTAGTAGCATATTCAGCATGGGTATACCCGTTTGAGGTAGCATTCATGAAAGCGTATCCAAAGAGAGAACTTTTTGTTACTGACAACATCGTCAATGTGTTTTTCGCCATCGACATTATTTTGACATTCTTTGTGGCTTATTTTGATTCTAGAACTCAGCTTCTTGTTTATAACTCCAAAAAGATTGCTAAAAGGTTTGTCTACCTTCTAATCTTTCTATTTTTTTTTTAAGTTTACAGATTTTTATAAACACATTGTTCTATCCTAACCTTTATTATCTTACAATTTAATCATATTTCTACTCTTGCTCGCCCTACTTAATCTCTACATTTTTTTTACACTGAACCTTTTTTTATGATTTGCACAAATGAATGTAAAATGAGTGAATTACAAATATTTACAAGTATACACTACCTCTGTTTTATATACTAATCATATATCGTATGCATAAGAATTAAGGTAAAATGAACAGATTAAGAGTATATAAAAAGATAGATGCGTGTAAGGAAAATGTGTAAAAGAAGTAAAGATAATAAGTGGAAATGTGTAAATGTTGTAGTTATGAGTCTATAAGGGGTAAGGTGATAAAAAGATATTGCCAATTAAAATAAAATAAAATAAATTAAATTATTATCAGAGAACATTATTATGATATAGACAACAACAAATTATGTACATTATGAAATGAATGTAGTATCGACCAAATGGGTGTCCCTTGGGTAAAAAAAAAAAAAAAACCATCCACTATATAATTTTCTATGTATCCGTTCTACTTTCATTCCATTTTGTTTTATTTTTAAAAAACTTTTTATCACTTTGTTTTTTTATTTTTGGCAAATCTAATTTACAACTCTACCCTATTTTTCACAATATATAGCTTTCCATTCACATTCTCTTACTTTAATTTATCCTTTCTAGTTACTTTTTTTCCCACTCTTTCTCTTAATTTAACTCACCACTTCAACACAGTCTCTTATTTTCTTAATTATGCTTACAACTAATTAATGTTAAGATTTAAATATAGTTGGAGGTACTACTTGATGATTAAATGAATAAACTTTCTATAAAGAAAATAAAATATAATATCAGCCAATATCACTAATTATTTACGACTTGTTACCTGTCAACCACCCAAATAAAAACAAATTTATAAAATTTATGCCACGAAAAAATATGATTCATCTCCTTTCAAACAATTTAAGTTTGTATGCTACTATATTTGTACGTTACTTATATAAGACCAAATACATACCTAACTTTGTAAGGATCTCTTCTATTCGATTTTTCTTCGTCGAATTGAGGATATTTTTATTTAATTTACTTTATCTAAAATTAATTTGCCAAAAAAAAAATAAGATTATCTAGAATGGCCTATATAATGAAAATTCATTTTCAATAATTGCCGTAAGATTGTCTTTTGCATGGGGTGAAAATGATTGATTTTGCACGTATATGGTGGGGTAGATAAACATGAAGGTCGGCAGAACTTATTATTACTTCTCAAACTACCTTCTTATATACTTCCAATTTTGATTAATATATCAATTAAAGATAATTGAAATAAAGAGTAATAATTGCGATGGTTATTGAATAAAAGGGGACTCATTGATTAATGACCAAGGTGATTTTCATTACTACATCTATTTTCAAATGATGTAATCATTTATTGCAGTGTCAATTAAAGAGATTAAAATCTAATATATATATAAATAAAGTAGGCATATTTGGAGAGCATTAGGAGCGCCACGTAAGAAATATACTTATTTCGACCAATAAGAAGAAAGATTTGTATTTAGTCTTGAATTAAAAAACTACGTTGCCACCTAGATAAAAGTAACGAATTAGATTTGATGTATCTAAAATTTTAATGCTAGATTATAATCCACGAATTGAATTATTTTAATGAAAAAAATAAAGTAAAAATATAGGAAAAGATAGATTTATTTATTCAATACTACGAGTATAAGAAATTCAAAAAAAAAATAACTAAAAAGTATATAAATGATAAACTCTTATAATAAATTTTGATACCTATCATTATAACATAAATTTATTTATAATTATTAGTTACATTGTATTTATTTAGGATACTTAACGATTATTTGTTTATATAATGACATACGATCAGATGTTGTATACTTAATATATGGATGACTTTGGTTATTTTTGGAGATGATGAAAAAATTCCAATGCATAGATTTGATTTTATATCACAACAATTTTTCATTTATAGGTAAATATATTGATTTTTTTTATATAAATGTAAAGATTTAACACAAAATCTCTAAAAAGACGGGTGCACGTTAATTTATTATAAAACGAGTTAAAGTTGTGTTAAAAGTACTTGAAGTTACCCTTTATACTACAAAAGTTATTATTTTTCTATTAATAAATTTTATCTTACAAAAAACTTGTAATGTATTAGATTAATCATATTAGTTTTTATAGTATTTTTAATCACGAATTTATAAGAAATTACAAATTAAAATAAAATTCAAACCAACGATAAATTAAAAGTTACCCTTTAAATAGTAAAAGTTACCATAAAAATAGTTAAAGTTATACTCAAACTGACCGTTTTACAATAAACTTAATGTACACTCGTTGTACACAAGACTTATTCAAGATTTAATTTATATCAATTTCAGTTTGGCTAACATTTCACGATTCAATTTATCCATTGATGTAGTAGGTTGGTTGTGGACGAGGTTGGTAATTTTATCGAAATAAAAGATATGGTAAATTTAAATTATTAAAAATTTATCATTTCACATTCAATATTATATATAACGGAAAAAAATATCATATTTACCATTTATTTATATTTAATAAATTCATTATCGATTATAGAAAAAAAAAATAAAAATTAAAATTTTGTAATTTTGTCTGAAATAAATACAGTAAATCAAATAATTAAAAATCATAGATGAAAAAACCGTACATCGCACGGGCTTCCATCTAGTCTATACTATAATTATTCGAACACCCAACCTCTCTCTTATAATAGGATGACTATATAACCATCTAAATCAATTACCAACCACATTATCAATATGTAAAAATAAAAAGTATATAAAGCACAAGGTTCAATTAAAAAAAATTACTCAAAGAATAAACTCAATAAGTATCAATGTAACTATTACCTCATACCTCATAGGGACAAAAGCCTGACCAATTCATTTATATAAGTATAATATAAAAACTATAATACAATAATATATAACGTATGACCTGGGACATCGTCCGGGCTAAACACTAGTTTAATCATGAATTCATGCTAACATGTAAGAAAAAAAAGTCATGTATCGACTTATAATTTTCAGATAGTATCTTTTTTATTATTTTTGATACTATAAAATTGAAGATATTGACGCTCACAAAAGTGTAATGAAAAAAGTTTTTTTTATTTTTTTTCTTAAAAAAAAAAAAAAAAAAAAAAAAAAAAAAAAAAAAAAAAAAAAACTAAATCAAAAGAAAAAACTAAATTAAAAGAAAACCGAGAGAATATGTGTTTATGAAACGGTTTTTTCCGTAAATAGCAATGCTAATATAGCTTTTGGCGTGTGTAGTAATGCACTTGTATGAAGCAAATCAAGAAAAAATAATTAATCTTTAAATAATTATTTACTTTTTTTGTAAGAATGATTAAGAGTTTTGACATATCAACCTTCACTATTTATATTGACCAGAATATAAAAAAATCATTAAAAAAAAAAAAAAAAAAAAAAAAAAAAAAACCCTCTTATATCCTTTATAATATCACAATGACTTTTATTTTAACATAATAACCTTTATTTTAATATAATGACCTTTTTTTTTATTAAAAAAATCATAGTGTTTCTCATATTAATGCTCCACAATAAATTAGTGTGTAGCAGCTCCATTTAAGAGTTTGTATAGATTAGAGAAAATCAAGGTGAATGCTTATATATATTTATAATACAATTTATATATTTTTTATGAGAAAAGTATTACAAGAAAAGGCCTAAAGAAAAAGTTTAAATGAATGTACTTGTAGGTATGTATCGACATGGTTAATAATGGACGTGGCATCAACAATACCATATGAAGCATTAGCTTTGATGTTTACTGGCAAATACAAATTTAGCCTTTCTTATTCTCTCTTAGGATTGTTTCGTTTCTGGCGACTCCGACGAGTTAAGCAATTCTTCACCAGGTATCTTACTCACTCTATGTACCTTTACTTATATGGCGGACTAGGGTGCAATACACCCGATCAAATACGACAACCTTTATTTAAACTAAACTTACGCTGGATTTCATCAAAGATTGATTTTAAAAGGTGGTTTTCAACAATGACATAGATAAGTTGAGAGTTGTTGATGGTAAATATATATAAAGGTTTTGTGCCTTAAATCTATGGTTGACATTATATATTTTAACGGCTTGCATTGTCAAAGATTTGATGAAAATTCGTGTCTTAATTTACTGTTGAAATTACAAAATTCATTTAGATAAATAGAAAGAAAGAATATGAGGGAGAGAAATGATGAGCAACTAGCTATATTAATGTGGATATAAGTTGGATTATTGGATTTGAATCATACTCCCTCCGTTTGATATTGATCTTTTGAAAGTGATTTGATCGTTGATCTTTCCATTGATTATCTTTTGGGTATAAATATACAAATACAAGAGATAATCTTGGCAACTAACTAGCTACAATTAAGGCTATAAACTAGGCTAGGAAATATACACTAACCATAATTAGTTATATACAATGTCAGACTAGAATATATTGCCATATATTCTAACACTCCCCCACAGTCAAAGCGGGAGCACGGACGCTAAGACTGGCACGAAAGTCATCAAACAAAACCCGGGGAAGACCCTTTGTGAAAATATCGGCAATCTGATAACGAGAGGGAACATGTAATACCCGGACCTCGCCTTTAGCGACTTTTTCTCGAACAAAAAGAATGTCCATTTCAATGTGTTTGGTACGCTGATGTTGGACCGGATTTCCAGAAAGGTAAATTGAATAGGGAAATAGAGCTCAAGCAACAAATTTCGGATCCAACAAGAATCAGAGACCACATTAGCAACCCCACGATATTCGGCCTCTGCACTGGACTTAGATAACGTAGGCTGCCGTTTGGATGACCAGGAAATCAAGTTGTCGCCTAAGAATACACAATAACCTGAAGTAGATCGCCTGGTGTCGGGGCATCCCCCCCAATCTGCATCCGTATAAGCAACAAGCTTGTTGATAGAGGACTTATACAGATGCAAACCAAAAGACTAAGTTCCCTGTAAGTAGCGTATGATACGCTTCAAAGCGCTCATGTGTGCATTGCACGGAGCATGCATATGGAGACAGACCTGTTGAACTACATAAGAAATATCAGGTCTAGTAAAAGTCAGATACTGAAGAGCTCCAGCAAGACTCCTGTACTTAGTTGGATCCTCATATGGAGCATCATGAGAAGCACTAACTTTGGATTTCGTGTCAACAGGTGTAGGACAAGGACTACAGTTTGACATGCCTGCTTTTGCAATGATGGAGGTGGCATACGGTTTCTGAGACAAGAACATACCATTAGCATCACGAGTCACTGCAATGCCCAGGAAAAAACTCAGAGGACCTAAATCCTTCATGGCGAACTCGGAACTCAGAAGACCCATGATATGAGTTCGGAGATGAACAGAAGAAGATGTAAGAATAATATCATCAACATATAACAGAATATAAGCAGTATCACTGTAATAAACAGAGAATTATCAGATCTACTGTTAGTAAAACCAATAGAGGTGACAAAATCTACACACCGCTGATACCAGACTCTAGGGGCCTGTTTGAGACCATATAGAGATTTCCGCAGAAGACAGACATGATCAGGGCGACTTTTGTCGCGAAAACCTATTGGATGATGCATATAAACTGTTTCATTGAGATAACCATGCAGAAAAGCATTCTTGACATCCAACTGATGGATCGACCAAGAGTGTGAAATGGCAATGCTAAGAACAGTACGAATAGTAGCCGGTTTGACAACCGGACTGAAAGTCTCATCATAGTCAATTCCCTGTTGTTGTGTTTTTTCATCACTTACAAGACGAGCCTTATATCGCTCAAAAGAACCATCAGACTTTCGTTTATGACAAAATATCCACATAGAACGAATAACATTCACATTAGGAGGCCGAGGAACCAAATCCCATGTATGATTACCAATAAGAGCATTAAATTCTTCTAACATTAAATTTTTCCAATTAGGGTCACGAATAGCACTAACCGGGTCCTTAGGGATAGGAGAAATAGTGGTAGTGGTCATCATGTTTAGGCTGGAAAAATATTTCGGGTTAGGTTTTATAATGCCGTCTTTGGATCGGGTGGTCATAGGATGGGAGTGGGTAGTTGATTAGCTGAATAGGGGTGGGGTGGAGACGGTACTGCCTGTGGCAGTGGGGTTGGATGGGCTGCTGGCAGATAAGGAGGAGGAGGAACTTTCACTTCGTGAGGAAGTGAGGAGTGGGCTGTCCAAAGGGGGAGGGAGAAGGACTGGTCTATGCTGGGCCGTCTGCTGGGAGCCCACAGACTGAGATGTGGCAGGAGGAGGGGAGTGTGGGCTGGAGTCAGTAGAGAGCCCAGAAGAGATGGGAGATGTTGGCTTCCCATGTGAGGAGACGGGCTGGGCTGGGGATGAGGGAAAAATGGGTTGAGTGGTGCGCAAATGGTGGTAGTGATTTAATGGACTGTAGTCCAAAAATTCATAATCATCAATTTTCGGGGTGTGATATTTGGAGAACGAAAACTCGTTTTCAATAAATATCACATGCCGACAAATGATGATTTTACCATTTGATAAATTATAGCACTTCGAACCACGATGATTAGGCGTAGGGCCAAGATAGACACACGGGGTGGACCGTTCTTGCAACTTGGTTATAGAAGTGGAAGGGAAGAGGGGAAAACATAAGCAACCAAAGACTCGTAAACCCGAATAAATGGGATCACGGTGGTAAAAAGCTTGAGTAGGAGATTTATAACCTAAGACCTTGGTTAAGAGAATGTTTAGGAGATAGGTAGCCATGGCTAGAGCATGATGCCAAAAAGAATGAGGCAAAGAAGCATGGGCAAGAAGGGTCCGTATAATGTTATTGATTGATTTTATGTGACGTTCAGCTTTTCCATTTTGTTGAGATGTGTGTGGACAGGAAAGACGAAAGAGAATGCCATGATTTTCAAAAAAATCTTTAAGAGTACCATTAACATACTCGGTGCCATTGTCACATTGAAAAGTCTTAATGTTACGTTCAAATTGAGTTTGGACTATCTTATGAAAGGTTTGGAAAATATGTTTAACTTTAGATTTCTTTGCAATAGGATAAGTCCATAAAAATTTGGTGTAGTCATCAAGAAACAATAGATAATAACAATGACCAGAAGAACTGATAATTGGAGAAGTCCATAGATCGCTATGAATTATATCAAAAGGAAAAACAGTGTGCAACATAGAATCAGAAAAAAGGTAGTTTAACGTGTTTCCCTAAAGGGCATGAAGAACAAAAAGAAGTACAAACCTTATTACATTCAATAAAATTTTGAGTACTCAATTTCCTAAGAACAACATCGCCAGGATGTCCTAGTCGATTATGCCAAAGATCGGAAGAGATAGCAGTAAAATTTGAATGTGTGACTGAGTTGGCTTGATTGATTGGGAAGAGAGGATATAGGTCACCGGTACTGTCAGATCTCATTAGGTGGGCCCCCGTCTGTAAATCATTCACAGAAAAACCATAAGGATCAAAGGAAAGAGAGACCATATTGTCAGTTGTGAATTTTCGGACGGATATCAAATTTTTAATTATTTTGGGAGCATGCAAAACATGATTTAGGGTAAAAGGTGGGTACGGGGATGGCAAAATAGCACTACCATGACCAATAATTGGAACTAAATCACCACTACCAACAACAATGTTATGATTTTTAATGCTCGAATTTACATAGGGTGAGAGAATACCTTGATCGGCCGTCATATGAGATGTGGCGCCGGTGTCCATATAATAATTGGTATCCGGACGATGTGGATTAGCAAGCATTTGCATAGCAGCAGCAATGTGGGTAGGAGTAGGATTTGGACCATTGTCAAGAGCACTGAAAGCTTGAGGAGGTGGACCAAGAATCCCGGGCCCAATTGGCCTTGAGCCTGTTGAAGAGGCAGCTGTCCGTGGTGTCCAAGACTGAGCTGGATATGGGCATGGTGGACTAGGCCACTGGCCCAGCCAAGGGTTCCAGGCAGGCCACGAGTACGGGCCTGGATGAGGCTGACAGGGCTGTCCAGTTGTTGAGCCAGAAGGCTGCTGGGCTGAACCAGAGAGGCGCCCTTTACCAGAAACCTTTGAGACTGACTTCTTCGTGTTGAGCAACTAGCTATATTAATGTGGATATAAGTTGGATTATTGGATTTGAATCATACTCCCTCCGTTTGATATTGATCTTTTGAAAGTGATTTGATCGTTGATCTTTCCATTGATTATCTTTTGGGTATAAATATACAAATACAAGAGATAATCTTGGCAACTAACTAGCTACAATTAAGGCTATAAACTAGGCTAGGAAATATACACTAACCATAATTAGTTATATACAATGTCAGACTAGAATATATTGCCATATATTCTAACATCTTTCTATTTTGACCAATTTTGTACGCATGTTTTATTCGAGGAATGGTGTATTTTTTTCTAGGAGTACCTTCTAACTCTTGGCCAAGTTTTTTTTTTTTCTCTAATTACAAAATATAATTGTTTTGCGAGTTTTTTTTCAATTTTTTTTTAACTGGCTTTAAATTATAATTGTAGGCTTGAGAAAGATATCAGGTTCAGCTACTTTTGGGTCCGATGTGCTAGGCTTCTATTTGTAAGTAAAAGCATCCTAGCTATGTCGTGTTAATGCTATTATGTTCATGTTTGTTTTGAAAAAAAAAAAAACATTTTTAATTTTTAGAAGAAAAAACAAGATTAACATTCAAAATTATTATTATTTTTTATCTAATATAGACACGTTTATGTAGGTGACATTGTTTTTAGTACACTGCGCCGGATGTCTATACTACTTGCTAGCAGATCGATACCCTCACGAGGGGAAGACATGGATAGGAGCAATAAATCCAAACTTCAGGGAAACAAGCCTTTGGGTTCGTTACATTTCCGCCATTTACTGGTCGATCACCACTATGACCACAGTGGGCTACGGCGACTTGCATGCCAATAACACCATTGAAATGATTTTTATCATCTTTTATATGCTCTTTAACTTAAGCCTCACAGCCTATCTCATTGGCAATATGACTAACTTAGTTGTTGAAGGAACACGTCGTACCATGGAATTCGTAAGGCCATCACTTTCTTTAATAGTACTATGGAACAAATCGAGTAATACAAGTATATAGTTTGTGAATGACTCGGTGTTAGAATTTTTTAACTGCAGAGAAGTAGCATAGAAGCAGCATCAAGCTTCGTAGGAAGAAACCGGCTACCAACAAGGTTGAAGGAGCAAATATTAGGGTATATGTGCTTGAGATTTAAGGCTGAAAATTTGAATCAATTCCAACTAATTGAACAACTCCCAAACTCCATCTATAAGAGCATTTGCCAGCATTTGTTCCTCCCAACTGTTGAAAATGTATACTTGTTCCGCGGTGTCTCAAGGAAAACTCTCCTACAACTGGTATATACTTTTTTAAATGCATCACTTTTTTAAATTAGCCATTTTTTTAAATGAATTTGGGTGAGTATATACAAGATCTATGTTAACAAAATATACTTTTTAATAATAATCTAAAAATTTGACCATATGTATGCTTCAAATAAGGTAGCAAGAACAAAGGCAGAGTACTTGCCTCCAAGAGAAGACATAATATAGTATATACAAGACCTATATATTGCTATGCTCTTTTTCTTTTACGAGCAGTTTCTTATGACGATTCATGTTAGTCAATCCATATCATTAAATCATTTTGGTACTAAGGCTTTGTTGTTATTGTTATTGCTGTTGTTGTATCTACAGTATGTTAAGTATACTTTTAAAGACTTAATTCATAGTCCAAATAATCTAAAAATTTGACCATATGTATGCTTCATAAAACAAGGTAGCAAGAACAAAGGCAGAGTACTTGCCTCCAAGAGAAGACATAATAATGCAAAACGAAGCAGCAGATGACATATACATTATAGTATCTGGAGAAGTGGAGATGATAGATTATGAAAGTAATCAGAGAGAGATTGTCGTCGGAAGTTTGCAAGCCGGAGATATGTTTGGAGAGGTTGCTGCTATTTGTTCTACTCCACAAGCCTTCACTTTTCGTACGAAAACACTTGCACAACTTCTCAGATTAAAAACTTCTAATCTTATTGAAGCAATGAAGATTAGACAAGAAGATAATATTGTTATGGTTAACAACTTTCTTCTGGTTAGTATTACGTACTCCATCGATTGTTTTCAGTTAGTTTACGCGGTTAGTTTGTACCTTTAGATATGGTGATCGAGTTTATTAACATGTACACGTATGCATAATTCCATATTATTGACAGCATAATAGGAAGCTTAACATATTGAGAGTGGGAGAATGGCTAATTGAGAATGCAGAAAGAGATGGTGAATTAGTCAAAGCATTGATTTTATTGAATGTTTCTGCTGCTGGAAATAGCATTTTTCTTGGCAAGCTTCTCAATGCAAACTTTGATCCGAACGTTTGCGACTCTCGTGGAAGAACTCCATTGGTAATGTTTAAGTCCATTTTAAAGCCTCAAACATTTGGGTTCATTTCATCTTTTAGAAGTTCAAAGTGAAGAGATTGTTTCCTCTATTTTAAGTAGCTATAACACAACACTTTGACATAAATGTTATTTGATGAAATGATTAGAGAAAGTAAACAAACAAATTAATTTGAATAAGTTTAATTATAAATTAACTCTTTTCTCTTATTGATGAGTGGTAAATTTATTTTGATTAACTTGTCATCACTATGATTTATTTAGCATGAAGCAGCTTCAAGGGGACATGAAGAATGTGTTGTTGTGCTTCTAAACCATGGATGCAATGTACTTTTACAAGGTATATATTACAAGTACTTTGGACTTCTTAGTTACATGGACGAATATTAAGCATTTTAAAAACTCTCCTCGTAAGGAGGGTCTCCTAATGTTTTTTTTTTTTTTCTTACCTTTAAAAAAAGAAGTTACAGATTTACGTGTACAATAGCTATGGTGTCCGCTGTTAGTTTAAAATCCTGGATCCGACTGTGCTTTATTAATTTCATATCACAGAATTAATGCCTACAAACCAACTCGATATCATCTAACATATCATGAATTCTTACAGATGTGAATGGCAACACAGCTTTATGGGATGCTATAACATCAAAACACTACAAGATATTCCAACTGCTATACAATTATGCTACTATTTCTGATCCACATGTAGCAGGCGATCTTCTTACCACAGCAACTGAACGCAACGAAATCGAAGTGATCAAGGATATGTTACAATGTGGATTAAATCCTGACTCGAAGAATATTCATGGCTTAAGAGCTCTTCAAGTTTCCTTAGCAACTAATCATCTTGAAGTAGCAAAGTTACTAATAGCCCATGGTGCAAAAACTAGTGACCTTAATGGTCACACATTTTCGTCGATTTTCACCGCTGGTGATCTATGCGTGCTACATAATAAGGTGCAAAAAATAAATCCTGGATATAAAGAAGTAAACTTAGTGAATAGGCAGAATGACCAGTTTTGTGCAAGGATAAATTTATACAAGGGGCATCCAATTATAAGCAACACATTTGATAGAAATGCAACTGGAAGGCTTATTAAATTGCCAAGTTCTTTTGAGGAACTCAAAAGAATTGCAGGTATGGTTTCTAGCTTAATATTCTATTCCCTTTTGTTAGAAAAATATTATTAATTGGTTTTTTCACCATTAACGTATTATATTTGAATTCTAGTTAGTAATAAAGCTAAAATTATACGAAATAATGTGAATGTCAACTACCTTTGTTGGTTAAAGTCTTTTACTTCCTCCGTTCTTTTTTTATCGCATCACTTACTACTCTAGGAAGTTTACTTATTATTACATCATTTCCTTTTTTGGATAAAAAATATATATGTTCACACTGCAAATACCCAACATACCCTTACTTTTTATTTTATCTTACATTACATTGACAATTTTGTATTTTTACGTTTCTCTCTCTTATTTTTTTCCACTACTAAATTTTGCCTCCAAAATCCTATGATGCAATAAAAAAAACGGAGGAAGTATGTGGTATTCAAGACATGAAATCAAATCCCTTCTATATCAGTGTCTTTATAATACATCTTTTTTCACATAGAGTTATTACATAGTAGAAAAATCAATAATAGTTGCGAAATTAAATGTTAGCGCCAATATAAGGTCCGGAGAAAATTAATGAAAAATCAGGTAATGCATGAATATAATAGAGGAAACTAAGCGAAATTGGATAATCAATTTTTTTAAAAAAAAAAATTGAAATTAATTTAGTGTAGCTTAACAAAAAGGGTACCCTTGCAATTTTGGTATTTTCTTCAATCTGCTATATGAAAAAGATGATTTAAATATGAAAAAAGATGTATGTAATTTATTCAGTTTTTCATTGGATCAAATAAAACTTATTGGTCTTTGATCATTGTGTATGACTTCCTTATGATACAAGTTTGTCCTTTTTTTTTTTTTTTTTAAATTATTGATTGTAATTAGTGATTTGATTTTGTTATATGAATGACAGGGCAAAAGTTCGAAGTTAATGCAGACAATATAACAATTGTAAATGAAGAAGGGGCAGAGATTGATTCCATTCAAGTGATTAGAGACAATGATAAATTATATGTACTTGAAAATGAAATTTCATGACACATTTGTGTGTGACAAGAATTAAAGATGCATCAATGATTAAAATGAAATACTTAGTATTAAAATTTTCGCTTCAACTAGAAAATTGTAAATATAGAAATTATATTTAGTTAAGACAATCAGGATACAGAGTAATTTCTGTGTGACCGGAGTATAATTTCAAGGGTCATAAGGAAATGAAGGAATCATAAATCATTCTTAATTATCCTGGTTATTACATAAATCATTTTAATAATTATGCTTAATTTTGAAGCAACATAAGTACTATGCCTGCAAAAAATTAAGATTTGCTACAAAGCTTCAGTTGGTCTAGGTAACATGCTATGCATCACTTGGAGCCCGGTGTATACCGCACCCCCCTCCCCCACAAAACCACCTCTTCACCAATCCATTCCCACATCGGCACAATATCAGTGATCTAGCCTCATGCTCTCGCCCTTCACCCCATGTCACATGGTCGAGTGGAGATAGTACACTTTCATGTCCTCTATAATCTCTTCTGATATATGGCAAGTGTAACAGACTAACAACTTAAATTTTGTCAGGAATATGATGCCCACTACATGACATCTCAGGCCAACCATGCTTACCTATAGGTAAGTAAATCCATGAAGTGGTACATTAACAAGGTAGACATTGGGTGATGACGGGCACAGCCACACGGGCAGAGTTAAGAAAGGCCTATCAAAGTACTAAGTGTCACGGAGACAGAAACACTTGTATTTGTAGTAGCATAATAACACACATATCAATAGACTGCTAAAAATCGAATATTGAAATATAAGAAACAGAGCAAGATAAGTTTATACAAAAAGGTTTTATACAATGCACAGCAAAAACCTGAGAAGTATCGTGTGAATGCTACAAATGGTTGTACCTTCACCATGGATTAGAGATTTTCTGCTATAATATTTGATTGTTCCCCATATCATCATAACAAGGATTTAATCAAATTTCTAATGAGGTTAAAAAGGTTAATTAACTTATACTTGAACCAAGAAGTTTGCAGCAGATCTTCTAAAGCTACTTCACAATTCGGAACATTTATTTGGTCCCCTTAACTTTTTTGCCCAGTCTGATCCATCAATTTTTGAAGAATGCTCTGCGCGCATGAACAGCATTTTTGTATATCAGATGTTTTATAAAGCTATCATTTGTCGGACATAACCTTGATGTCAAAACATTCAGAAACAGGGCATAAAAAAGAAACGAACCATTAAATATGTTTCTGCACCAGAGAAGCAGAAGTACTTAACTACTTTGCAGCATTTACTTACAGTGTGTTTGGATAGATTATTGGGAAGGAAAAGAAGGGCAGAGAGGGGAAGGGGTGGGAAGGGAAAGGGAGATCAATTTTACAAATTACCCTCCATTTCTCTCCCCTCCAATTCCCTTCCTTCCTCATTTGTTCTCCAAATGAAAGATACTCTATCCTTCCATTTCCTTTCCTTTCCCTTCCTTTCCCTCCATTTCCTTCAATCCAAACAAAGTGTTAGTTAGAAATTAATACAGCAAACACGATTGAAACATTTAAACTTACTGGGCAACTTTGATTTTCCTTCAAACCCAATTGGAGCTCATATGGTGAGATTAGTAGCTTCACTGGACGAAATTCATTGGATTGGTTGTACCCCCTATTGTCCATGAAGCAAACTAATTCACATTGGATAAGATGCTCCAAAGCCTGAAATTATTGACCAGTAGATAATCAAAATAGTTTAGATTGTGCAAGTAATATTAATAAAAGCTAAACCATGCTCACCCTTAAGCAGACATTCCGTGCATAATAGTCAGGAGTCTGGAATGAATCATGTATAGCTTTGTATTCTGCCACATAACCTACAGTAAGTACATGGAAATTTTAAAATGAAATGCAACTCGTAGATCTTTAATGTGTACCTTTAATGACAGAGTTGAAGTTATATGAGTTCTGCTCTTTAACTTCTAGCCTTTTCATACAGACCAGTATATAAAGTTCTAAGACGGAGCAATCTGTGAAAACAAATTGATACATGTCAGAGAAGTCAATAATAATTTGAGGGGAAATCGATTAAGGGAGTGAGAGCTTGGAATGCAGCATTGGCCAAATAAACATTAGTTCAAAAGACAACTGTCCAAGACTACTCAATGATCAGTACCTTGCACACCTAAGCCTGAGCTACCACACACACACAAAAAAAAAAAAAAAAAAAAAAAAAAAGAAAAAAAAAAAAGAACAGACTTGAATCTGGGGAACTCCCCTTCTAAACCTTCAGCTATTTATCTTACAAAAAAATTATACCATGCACATATAACTAAATAACATATGAAAGAGGGCTTCTTAAAAAAAATTATGTTCCCAGTGTGAATCACTAGAATTCAGAACAAAAGCATTAAATATACACTATTCAACACTGCAAAAAGCATAGCTCGTCTCAAAGAAAGAAAAAGAAAAAATATTTCAGGCACCTTTATATATTTACCCCCCCCCCCCAACCACACACACACAAAACCCTTTCTTCTGCTCCAACTCCTAACATTCAAAATTCGCCAAAAAGGACCATTTAAACTAAACCTTTTTGAAAAAGGTCCTTTTATATAAAAAGTGGCTAATCAAGACCTTAAATGAAAGTTTTGTTGTGAAGAAGGACAAAAAGGTCCTTACCTTCTGCCTTTAATATGCCATTAAAACCCCCGCATAAAACATATGAAATCGATTGAATCAAATGAAATCCCCCTCTTATGAATACTACATGAAAGCTATAAATCACATCCAAATGAAGATAATAAGATGGAATGAGTTGCGTTGGGTAGCGGCTGGGCAATGGCAGTTCGCTAATAGGTGGGATGAGTGGCACTTGAGGTAGTGGCAATTTGTAGTAGGTAGTGGGAGGGGGTGGCTGGCGTTGGGTTCAGATGATGAGAGGAGAGAATGAAGCAAAGGAAAAGGGAGTGAAGAGGTAGGGGATGTGGTGTTGGATTTTGGTGTGGTGGTAGAATATTGGTGGGATGATGGTGGGCAAGGTTTTAAAAAAATTATATACACTTGGTTGTAAGGTGCACCTAAAGGTATTTTCTACTGAATTTATATTTGTGCACATTTTAAAATCTTAAAATGAGCAAAAAAAATATCAAATGAGCAAAAAAATACCCTTGGGTGCACCTATCTCTATGTGCACCCAAAGGTGTAGGGCATGGTGGTTGGGAAGGTGAGTGAGAGGGATGAAAATGAGGCGAAAAAAAAAAAAAGGCACATGCTCTGCATACGAGGGTCAACACCGGAAAAATCAAATCAAAGCTCAAAATCTGGCTGAAGGGCTCTTTTCACACAAAATAAATAAGATAAAAAATAAAAAAATAATTCATATAAGGTACTAATTTTACTTTTTTAAAATAAGAGAACCTTTCTCATAACATGTCTACTTTTAAAAGGTCCTTTTTGACAAATTTTCGGATTTTCCTATTAAATTTGTTAAATACCAAAAGACCCGATAAATCTTCAGCCTTCTTTCCACGAAAATACTACACTATGATAAACAATAAAGTGGATGACGGATATTAGAGACCAAGATCATGGTTCTCCAGAATATATACTTATGTTTTATAAATGATGCTAATATGTGGAGAGAGTAGGAACAGCGGTGCATATTACATACTGGATGAGAAAAGTACATACTATCAGATTATCGAGTCAATCACTATCAATTTGAAATGGAACAAAATGAAGTACATAAAATTGGAGAGGCTGAGGCCTACAAAATCACTTCACCTTTTAGATACTCCAACTTTGGCTGTCTATTTATTCTCACAACAGCCCTTTTGAAGTTCTCAATTGAAAGGATGCCTGTCTTCATGTCCATGGTGGAAACAGATAAAAACCTGGAAACATAGTAGGTATATAACATGAGCAAACAGGTTTTGTTTTTGTTCAATTTAAGTATTGCTAGACCCCACGAAGGAAGACGGATATGCAGATTGATGCAGGCAAATATTTTTTAGAGTATTTCTACACAGTAACCCTGTGACCATTAGGTTTTCTCAAATGTGCCCCATGTTTTTAGATTCTACACACGGTAACCTTCAGGTGCAATTAGTAAGTCAACAGTAACCTAACTACGTTAGCATTATTTATGGACGTTAGACAAACGTTAGATGCTTACTCTAGGTTCTTTCTCCTGTAATTTTTCTCACAATCTGAAAGATGGAGAATGAGATTGAGAAAGTGACAAAGAAGCAGAAAAAGAAAGTACCAGGTTTGTTAAATTCCTATTTTCTCCTCCCTGGATTTTCATCAATCCTCCGTCGCCAGTACCACCACCACAGCTCCTCCGCTACCTCCACCGCCTTATTCAGTTGCCGGATTCCAATGGCATTTCCACTTCCTCTGCATATCCTCCCCGAGGAGATCTCTTGCCAAGCTCAACTGTCAAGAGAGGTTTCTCTCTATATTTTATCAGTAATTTCAAACCTAACCAATTTTTTTTTTTTTTTTTTTAAATTGATTGAATTGGTAATAGATGTTGAAGGTGATAAACATGAAGGAAAAGCATTCATGGGTCTTCCTGATGCACATGCCATTCATTCTACTCTGTGGAAGGTTACTCTCCAATCAAATAATTTCTGAATTAGATAATTAATCAATTGGGATTAAAATCCCTAAAAATAAGAATTCAACTTTTACAAGGGTGTATTCGCAGGAGCAATGCAACCCTCATAATTAGCCAAAAAAATGTCAATATACTAGCTAGAGTTAATAGGGAAGGGAATATAACAATGGATGCCTATGGATACAATATAGAAAAGGGGGTGTTAAGTACGAAGAAGAGGGAGGCCGAGAGGCTACCCCTGTTCATTTGGAGGAAATTTTTTCACCAAAACGAAAAATTGGGGTTATATTTTTTGCAGGCATAGGAGATAAACCTGACAGTCACAGAACTCCCATAACAGAATACTAACGGCAAGGTTACTGTTGATTTACTAATTTAACCTCAGGGTTACTATGTGTAAAACCTAAAAACATAGGGCACAACTCAGATCACCCAATATTATAGGGTTACTATATAGAAAAAACCCTTTTATTTTTTTGTGGTTCTCATGGACAACCCCAAAGCCTTTCGCAGCTTAGTATATCTATCATAAACTTATCAAAAGTTAATTAATTGACTTGAAATCACAAATTATAGTAATAACACTGATCTGTTCCTTAAAGAAGAAACTACTTACAAGAATCTCATAATCTGGTCAACTGTTGAATCTGAACTCAACAATGTGTTCATAGTGTCATTGAATTTCTTGTCAGCCAATATCTTCTACGTAAAATCAAGGAAGAAAACATAGAGTAGATAAAAATAGCTGGAGTATTAATATAGCTTTCAAATTAAACCAATTTGCACATATTCAAACCTGGCAAATTGTTGATTTGGCATAACAATGCGTTACATGATAGATAGTCAATATCATTCATGTAGATAAAATAAATTGGTCGATTCCAGGACTAAATGATAATCAACTCAAGAAAAATGATTATTGTTGTTTTGTATATAATTACGAAGCTAGTTAGCTATACTTAGAATATTACTCTATGCAACATTAGAATATTACTCTACGCAACATTGCAACCACATATGCTCTGCAACTCTGCTAAATCATTGAAAGAAAATTTCAAGAACAGTCATGTTATCTGTCTACATTTTCTAATTGACCTCCCAGACTTCCACTTCCTTCCACGCTTTTTCCACCATGTTAAGTCTAACACTAACTAAAGAAATGTACTGTAAACTCAGCTCTAGTGTCTAGTCTCATGAGAATGAGATTGAGGTTCAATCTTATCTCAAAAAATGGGCGAAAAGCAACGCATACCTTCAGAAAGCATACCTTCAGAAAAAGCACCAAAACCCATTGCATTACAGGTTTAAATTCAGGAATCAAGACAGGAGAGCCCAAGTATGAATACTTCTATTACGATGGTGGAACCAAAAGATCTTTTGTATGCAATCAATGCCTGCTATATGGCTATTTGCTGCTACTTAATAAATCCTCTCAATCATCCATTACATCCCTACTTAGATATATGTGTCAAACTCCAGTACCCCAGTCTCCTCACCCAAACAGAAGTCTATAGCTGAGGCTACTCCAGATTGCTTATTCTGTAACTTGAGAGTAAAAAATAAGTAATAAATATACCATTCTTTACTGAATATCAACATTTATCCTCCACATAATAATATAGAGCTCTATAGCATTTACACGGAGTTAAATACCAAAATTTAGCAACATATTTTTCACAGTAGCAAGTAATCCTAGTTACATTTCATAAGGTCAATATACTGCAATCAAAACTTTGAAAATGCATTGACAAGGGTACTATATAGCTTGATAGTAGATGGAATCAAAGTGATAAATATAACTTCAAAATGGTATAATCAGAGAAAACACATGAAAATATGAACCAATACAATAAGAAGCACAGACAAAGTAACAGTCAATGCACAACAAATGTCTGCATCAAGTGTAGTACACAGACCAAAATGATGTATCTAAACAGAAAGGATACACGAAGCTCTTTATTGAATTCAACTACATAACTTTGAGGAAGGCTCGAATTTACCGGCAAAGATAATAGAAACTCCAGCAACCTGTGTACCGCCACTTAAACAAAGAATCACTTCAGAACATGCATGAAACACTAACTGCAGAAAAAAAATTGCGACTATAATCTCTAAACTTGGCTAAAATTACCTTTCCAATTCATCTTTTGAGGGAGGACAAAACAAAAGTTTTCTCTGTGATAAACGGGATCTAACTCTTTTCTCTAAAAGTTGGTCAGCATCCTGCAAATAGAATTGGACAAAATATGCAATTTCAGCCTTTCAGGGCATTATAATAGTGATACAATAAATGATTATTTTTCTGTGTTTTTTCTTTTTTCATATGAGATATACCATTAAAATAAAAACTTGTGAAATATATTGCAACTTCCCTAAAACTAATTTCATAAATTTTTAAACAAGTGTATTACAAATTCAGGTACACAGCAAAATAAAAACAGCTTTTTCTTTTGGGAACTAATAATGAATTAATCTCATGTATAGTTGATGAGTAGAAAATAAATCCCAACAGTTAAATGTGCACAAAATATTTCAAATTTTCAATTATGCATAAAAAACCATTCCTCAAAGTTTTGACATTTTCAGGTACCCTCACATAAAATATCTATTTAGGGACCTAGGACAGCCATTTTAATTCATGTAACTTGTTCTTGGTACTATCAATTTATTTTAAAGAACTAGCTAGAAACCATACAAATAGCTAGTGAGTAGTGGAATTTATTATGAGCTCAAGTATTGGCTTCCAGCTTCACCAACTATATGCTTGAATGATTTGAAAAGAAAGAAAAAGAAACTAAGACAAACTATGCTCCCTCTCCAACTTCCACAAGTCAACAAAAACCACTAAGTCACTGACTTTACTACCAACACTTCCCCCACCCCCACCAGTACCATCAGTCTTTCATCCATCGCCACCAAACTTGCTTCCACCCTCCTTTAACAATTAGCTTACTCTTATTGCCAACCCTTCCCTCTCTAGTCCGTTCCTTTCCACTCTGCATCTATCCTCTTACTCAACCATATCAAAGTATAGAGGCGTTAAAGATTTTAACACTAAGTATCCACCAAGGCCACCATATATCTTTCTCACTAGTATTGGTGGCTTGCATGTATTGCATATAATCATACTTAAGTGTTTTAAGGGGAACTTAACTTTACACAAGATGACTTTCTCTAAAAACAACCAAAGCTTGACTCGTATAATCATACTTAGGAATATCTTTTTGCTAAGTTTACTTTCTTATACGAGACAGAAAAAATCATCAATGAAAAAGGCAATATAGCTTAATAACTAAAGTTCGACAAACACAGCTTTAAACATCGACATGAACCTCCAATAAAAATATCCCATTGAAACACTTCCATCCTGCTCAACAAGGACAAGATCATGTGCAGAGAAAAAGAAAATTCTTACAAAAGCATACCAATCTACAGCTTACGCCAATCACAACAGCTTGTGACGTCACAGATTGCATTGCATCTAACAAGCTATAGAGTAACCGTTGTTTACCCTGGAAAGTGAAAAACAAACGGTGATGATAAAAAATTTCAATACACATCACTTGAAATTTCATAAAAAATGATTTAAGAAATAATCTCTAATCTTTGATATAAGGAATTAGGAAAGATATTACAGAGCTAGTGTGTACCCAAGAATGAACAATGCAATTGCAGAGTTAAAAGAAGGCTTCAAGATTACAGTGAAGTTAGAAGATAAATGCATACCTGAGCAAATATATCAAATTCGTCCAGCACAATAACAATGGTCTTATGGGCCAACCCACACTCTCTAAAAGAAAAAACAGAAGGTAAAAAGATTGTTTTAAGATCAATTCTAAAGGCATCCATTGACCAATAATTAAATGATGTAATATGATTACATATGAAAGTTACTGGAAGTGAATTTAAAATATAAGCCACTCACCGCAACATACTAATCACAAATTGAGTATTGTCATCAAAAGAAGCCTGAGCACAAGTCAATCTCTTGAATAATTATTTTGTAATCTCATATGGAAATCAAATCAGAAACAAATTGTATAGATGTACGCAGTTTACCATTTTTGAGAACGACAACTGATGCTCCACACATAATTGTCGGGCGATTTCCTATATCGTAAAGTAAGGTTAAATAATATATAATAAGGAGAATCTCTATGCAGAGACAAACATAGAAGAAACTTTTAAAACTCAGACAACATCATCTACAGAAGACGGAAGGGCAAATCACAGAAGCAGTAACAACATGAGACATTAATGCAGTAAATATACTGATCTTGATTACTTTTCTTAGCTAGTGGAACTGCACAGATAGAGTGTACCCAAGAAGGACCAATGCCATTGCAGAGTCACTAAAGCTAGATAATGATGAGTCATAAGTTGTGCAGCGTTGGATAGTCTTAGCTTTAATAATCTAATAAATCACAAAACTAAATGGAAATATATTATTATAAAATTGCATATTTATACATTACACAAATTCCTACCTAATTTAATGGGAAAATAAATCCAAGTGATCCAACATTAAAGTCAACGTAAAGGTGCCCAAACAAACCAATGACTAAGGCACAGTCCTCCTCAGCTTATTGTTGCTGGGAAAGAAAAAAAAAAACACTATTTTTGCAGAACCTTTACATTTCTGCTAAAGTATTGAACTTTGTATATTTTTGCTGAAACTTAAATTACTAAATTGAGGAGAACAAAGCCAAAAACACCCTCCCCTAACACCGATATCAAGAGACCAAAAAGATTCTGTATTAAACATCATCACTTGATAGCATAACAATGTAAAACACTCAAGCTTATGGTATTTACAAACATTGAGAGCAAGAATGTGAAAGATGTGTAAAATGTGCAGCTTATAATATACAATCTAACAAAAATGAAAAGAAATTAAACTCAAAAGCAGCCAAGTATTGTAAAGTACTAGAACATTTGGTTAATAGCAAAGACTTTTTAGCCGTACCTTGAGGGCACAGTTATCATCACTATGCAAAAGCCCGTTTAATTTTATCTGCAAAGAGTAAAAGCTATACTTTAACACCCAATGCCATATTCAATCCACCAAATGGAAGGAAGAACCAACAGCCATTTTCTCATAATAAAAAAAGGAATATCAATAACTAAATAATATTAGGATACCTTGAAATAGAGCACTAGTGAATTGCTGAAAAACAAGACCTTTTTCTTTTTAGGAAAAATTGCCCGGAATAACCCCACCTTTGGGGCGTCCGCCAAAAATAATCCCACCTTTGGGTTATTTTTTAATAATCCCACCTTTAATGTCAATCCACTTTAATTGGTCCCAGGTGACCAATTACCTATTAAATAGGTAAATATTTTTTTTTTAAAGTTTAAAAACACGTGTCACTACGTGATTCATCAAAAATTTAAAATAAAAAAATAATTGAATTTAACAAAATAAAAAATAGCCCTCAAAAAAAAAAACAAAAAAAAAAACCCGGCAGTCCCCAACCCCAGCCACCCCTAACACAGCCCCAACCCCACCACTTGAAGCTGCAGTTAACGGGGGGCCTGAAAATGTTGACGGAGACAAGCTGCTGCTAACCGGCGGCCAAAATTGTTGGACGGGGACGATGAGTGGAAGGGGGATTGAGGTCGAAATCAGGGCGGGGGAAGGAGAGGGAGGCTGGAATTGGGACGGGGAAGGGGAGAGTGCTGAAATCAGCACCGGGAAGGGGGAAGGAATCGGGACGGGGTTGGTATTTGCGATGGTTTGAAGGTGTTGGGGTTTGAATTGGTTGTGATTGTGCTTGGTATTTGCGGTAGGTTCGAAGATGCAGGGGGTTCGACAGTTCAGCGACGGTGATACTGCTGTGGTAGGAGTTCGGCAACGGTGGTGGTAGGGGCTGGTGGGGCTTGCGCAGCGGGGCGGCCTGGTTGGGCTCGCAGCAGTGGGGTAGGCCGGCGGTGGTGTTGGTGGTATTGGTGGCTGGGTTTCAGGGTGAGAGGGAGGGGAGTCGGCGGTTCGGGGGAGGGGGAGGGTGTTGGCGCGGCGCTCCGGCACTGGTGACCAGGCAGGGGGTCAGGCTGGTGGGGCTGCGCGGCCATGGAAGGTGGTTGGGCTGGTTAGGGTAGTTTATTAATTAATTAATTAATTTTTTTATTTTATTCTTAAAAAAAAAAATTACCAATCAGATGTCGACACGTGTCATGTAACTTACTATAACAAGTTAAATGACCGATTAGAACCATTTAAAGCAGATTGATATTAAAGGTGGGATTATTAAAAAATAACCCAAAGGTGGGATTATTTTTGGCGGAAGTCACAAAGGTGGGATTATTCTGGGTAATTTTTCCTTCTTTTTATTAATTCGAACATTGGTACAATTGATGACTCTACTTAAACAAATCTAAATTCTTAAAATATAGAAAGGAGTATTAGTTGATCTCACATAATAAGAAGAAATGTATCATACCAAATTAGTTAATCTCACAAATGATAAAGCAAGGACAAGTAATGTATCATATCTAAACTATAGCGTCAGCCCTACCCCATTTCCAGTAACCCTGTCCATCACTAGTTCCATACACATGCCAGTTTTGAGGAGCATGAAACTACTTGAGTTTTGGCAAATGCACCTATCCCTTAATTTCAAATTATACACCAACTCTTTAAATAATAAATATCAAAATTACAATTATAAATATATGTATTAAATTTGTTAGACAAATACAATTAGTTTGTTTTATTTTCGAGTTGTTAACTTTATAAATTAGTGACAAACCATTTTTTGTTGATAAAAATTTGCAAAAAGTTAGTAAGTATATTTCAAGACAGGGTACCCTGAATCGGAACCGGAACCTATCCAGTTCTGAATTTCTAGGAACCTGTTCAAAAGGTTCCGGTTCCAGTTCCAATTCCCATTTTGAGGTTCAAGTTCCGATTCCAGGAATTTTAACAGCTTACCCTATTATGCTCACCCCTAATAGGAATTAGGAATTCGAGATATAGACATTACCACAGATATCATATCTGGATATTCCACCGATAAATCTCTAAGAACTACCTCCAAAACCTACACACCCGCAAAATTGAAACATCATCAAAATCCGCGAAATCAGATAAATCCAGAATTAATTAAATTAAAAACAATGGAAGAGTAACTAAGAACAAACCGCAGTTTTGCTACAACCACGGGGACCAAGAAGCAACACCGAATTATTACATGCTTCCGTGATTGAACTAGATATCAAAAATTTCAATTTACTGCAAATTTGAAAAGCGGACAAAACAATTTGAGACCATTACAATTATAAGATACAAGTACAACTTTGAACAATTTAATACAAGTATAAATAGAGACGAATGGGAAATTGGGGAAGTGGAAGAATTACCTAAAGTTGGTATCTGAAGAAGAAGGGAGGAGAGAGAAAAATGCATGAGGGTCACATAGTCTTCTTCTGAGTAGCATTAGAGCTTCTTCTGCGGGATTCTTCTCCATTTCTGAATAGCTTAAGTTTCAACAATGGCGGGAACCCTAACAATAAACCATAGATTGTGAAATCGATATTTGAAGAATACAAAAGGAAACAACATTTTTACCTTAGAAGGTGCTTCAATGGAGGACAGAGGATTCAGAAGTCGCGTCACCGTAGAAAGTGGAGTGCGCTTCAATGTTAAACCGAGAGAGTGAGAGTTGAGAGCGGGAAATTGAGGACAAATAGCAGCACCGAGGGAGGTTCAAGTGATGGAGCCGACGGAGCAGCCTCCACCAAATTATTTCTGGCGACTCAGAGTAGTTACAAGGGAGGTTCGGCGCTCCGGCAAGGTTACGGCGCTAAGCAGGGGAGAGGACCATAGTAGAGTAGCTTTTTTTTTTTCTTTTTGTTGTTGTTGTTCTGATTCGAAAGAATGGTTATTGGGAACCGCCACTTCAAGTAGTGGTGTAAGCGCTTCTTTAGTTCACCTTATTTTTACTTATTTCATAAAAAATTAAGTTCAGATTAGATTATATCAGAAAAATATGTTTAGATCAGATCAGAAAAATTAAGTTCAGATTAAATCAGACCAGAAAAAATAAGTTCAGATCAAATACAAATTATTATTATTATGATTAGATCATATCAGAAAAATATGTTTAGATCAGATCAGAAAAATTAAGTTCAGATTAAATCAGACCAGAAAAAATAAGTTCAGATCAAATACAAATTATTATTATTATTATTATTATGATGGTTATTATTATTATTATTATTATTATTATTTATTTTTATTTTTATTTTTATTTTATTATTATTATTATTATTATTATTATTATTATTATTATTATTATTAAATAGCACAAATAATAAATAGCACAAACAATAAACGATAATAATTAAAATTTCATTATAAGCTCCAAATCATAAACATTTACAAATATAATTTTCATTACAAGAAGTTCCAAATTTCCTTCGCTATATTAAGTTGTACTTCGTTCATTACAGCTTTACGATTCTCATTAAACAAATCATAATCTGCTATTGGTTCGATTTCTATACCACTATCAATGGGTATATCCAACTTATGTAATCGAATAAAATTGTGAAGTGTGAATATAGCAACCATAAATGCCAATTGATGTTTAGTGTCCATATTTGGCATCATTGTCAATATTTTCCGTCGAGATTTTAATTGTCCAAAACATCTCTCGATCGTTGTTCGAAGTGAAGAGTGAAGATAATTAAAAAGTTCAAGTATGCCTTGAGGTGGTGGACCATTTCGAAATTCGGGCATATGGGTTCTAATATCTGTATCTTTTATTGGACTCAAATATCCAACGGTATTCGGATATCCAGAATCTACTAGATAATATTTTCCTGTTACAAAATAAAGTTATACGGCATATTAGTATATTGTCATGTATGGAGTAAAACATACACTATTTTAAATTATACCTGGAGGTGGATGGGGAAATCGAAATTCTGGTACGGTTAAGCAATGGTTCCATACAGTAATATCATGAGCACTACCTTCAAATCCAACGTTGATAAACGTGAAAAGTCTATCAAAGGAACAGGAAGCCAAAACATTCCATGTTTTTTCTAGAACGCCCTCAGTATGCTACACCATCATCATCGCTTACAACTGCATTTATATGAGTCCCATCCAATGCTCCAACACAATCCTAATAGTTCATTAACATTTAAAGCTACATTTTATAAGTGATTATATATTGCACATGCATTAAATAATATAATGACAATGCAAGATAATAATAATGTTTCTTAATACCTTGAAATATGGCCAATATTTTGTGCTGTCACCTATTTTTTTGGCACCTCGCTCAAACTTTGGTATGGTCTTATGATCTTAGTAGACAAATGAACTTTTGCTTGCAGTACTTGTTTAAAGTACAACCCGATTGTTGCAATAGAGATCTGAAATCGACCGGCAGCACCACGATAAGAACTGCCTTTAGACATGATATATAAAAATATTCCTAATTGCTCAGCCACAGATATGTAACGACCATCCGATAATAAATTTTTATTTTTCATGCAAGTAACAAGATCATATGTTTCTATCTCATCTCAATTGTTCTTTGCATAAATCAGGATGGGCGTGTAGTAGTCTGTTTATGTATTCGCTACCAGATTCTCCACCTAACCTTAAAGGCAATCTCTCAATTGGTGTAAGAAGTCTCTTTAGCTCTTCCAATGCGATAATTGTCAAGCACAGGGGAAGTATGTTATCCATTCTATAACATAAATCAACAAAATACCAACATTATTCAATTTCTAAAATAAAATCAACAATGACTTTTAAAATAAAGGCTAAAGCTTCTTAATTAGATCACCTGAAAAGCAATAGCATCATATGAAGCTACTTAAGCCTAAAGGTCAGAAAAAATAGTAGCTTCATATGTGGAACCTTAATTAAAACTAGAAAAACATCAAATAACTAACAAAGAACATATGAAACTGCAAAACAAGTCATAGGAAAACATAAGACAAAGTTAACTCCGAATACTCATCACCCCAAAAAACCTAATTAAGGACCACCCAATGATGGATCTTGAAATGTCGTCTTCAAATACACGATCTTCTGATCATTAATTCGGAGACCTAAGAAGAAATCTGCATTATCGCCACGATGAAGAAAATTCATACATTGGTAAATAAATCCTTCTCCTTGTTGAACAATAGCCTCAATTTGTATAGAGTTTCTGAGACATCTTTATACTTATTACCACTCCCTTGCTTACAATTAGTTTCAATAGACATTTTCAACAACTCTATACAAGAGTCAATGTTACTACTCTTGTTTTTTTTTTAAGTTTACTAGTACACCCATCACTCTTACGTTTCCCCAATGAGGTACTTTTAGGAGGTGAAATGCTCTGTTCATCATCCGAATTATTTATTCCCCTACTCATTTCCATAGCTACTATATTTTCATCACTGTCCCCAGACCTTTCCTCATTTTCTTTACCAATTTGTTCCCCACCTAATCCTGGAGAAAAACTCCATTTTCTAGTAGCAAAAGACCTTGAAAAAAGTGCTCGTAGCTTCTCTAGATGAGGCAATGGCCTCCTTAGGAATCTCGCTGGTATACCTTTATGTTTTTGCATAAATGCACAAGATTTTGATTAAATAAATTTAAAAATAATCTAGCATTGTAGAGGTCATAATGCAAGAAAATGGATAAACAAAATGTCATACCTTCACAAATATATTCCACCTATCATCTTGTTCACCTAGAGGACAACCAGTAATAGGATCAAATGTAAGACCAGTCCAATTGAGTTCCATTTCATTCCAAATTTTGAACTTTTTCCTTAAATCATCCCAATGATTTCTTGCTTGTCTAATATTGAAATTCTTCCCACTTTTTACGTTCAAAGTACTCACTATTCTATCCCAATTAACCTTTGATAGTCCACCTGCTTTCATCTCCAAGCATATGTCCAAAAAAATTTATGTACTGTCATCAGACCATGCTACCCTACCAGCCATTACACTATGATCAAGAACACTTTGAAATTATTAGTTTCATGCACGAAATATTTAAGTAACTATAATTTAATTTATGTTATCAAAAAATTTTGGTCAATCAATTATGGTTCACAACAGTGGCGGATCTTGAACAATTTTCTATTGGGGGCCAATCATTTTTTAACATAAATATATGTCTAAAACAAAAAACAATAAAATAAGTACTAGTATATTAGAATTATAATATGAACAAAAACAAGAAACTAGTGGTTGATAAATTTCATCATCCATGCTAAACATTTTACGTACTATGGAGGCTTTTTAATTGTGATTGAACAATATTTAGACAGAACATGAAAATTCATTAATTGCAGAAGCAATAAGAGTATATTACAATTTTATGCAACATGTTGCAAGCATTGCACTGTGACTGTTGCATACACAATCATATTTAACAACAATACATATCTATTTTAATTCTTGCGAATTTCATTGCTATGACCAACCTTATTGCAAATGAGAATAGTCGGAAAAATATTAAAATAAAAGCCATAATATTTAAGCAAAAGCTCGATGAAATTGGCTAAAATTAATAAATGATATCGATCAATGCATATATCCTCCATGAGCACCCCCTTCACGCCACCGGCCCCACCCCCATAACCACCAGCATAGTACATGACCCAACTCTAAACAATTAAACCCATAAAGTAATTATTGAATAAATATGCCTTACTTTCATATGTTTAGCATTGACTTAATTTTAGTTATTATCAATGCATCACAATTCACAAATCACAAGTATTGTAAAAGTTAAATAACAGGTTGACAATTGATAGATAAATTTTTTCTAAAAAATGATATATCGAAGGAAAAAACTTATATTCCTAAGTCAGCAATCTATTACCTCAATATCATCTTATCACCTACTATACAATCATCAATTTGTTTTCAAGTGTTAAAATTAGTCAGAGTACTAATTTGACTACACAAAAAAATTATTGAAAATTAAATAATTACTCCTTAGATAAAAAAATTGAATTGAAACAATAATATACTCCGTAACTCGTAAATTACCCTATAAAGTGATGATTGTAGACGAAATCATGAAAATATAATAAAAATAACAACAAAGAGTTAAGGTATTTACCTGTCGACGAGATTGTATACGAGCAAGCTACTAAAATGAGCAACAAAAGGACAAAATTTGGGAGAGATTGATGTGTTGTAGGAGAGAAATATTGCAATACGAAGGATTATATATATACAAAAAAAAAACTGTAGTACCAAACTACCAATACTCCCAATTAATGTTTTTGTCGGTCAACCATGCAGATTAGGTCTTTACTTTTCTAGAAATAAAACAATACTTGATATATAAAGAGAAAGCAACCAACCATACACCATGCAAATACATGTCAGTATTCATTTCCTAGGATAAAGTCAACGTGTCATTAATTGTCGGTTATCAGATTAGATTAATTATTATAAAATGATGAGATAATTAGAGAAAACCCAGTTCAGATTTCTAGAATTGACAGACAGTAAAAATACAGTACAGGGTTTTAAGTACCGAGAAAACCCAGTTCAGATTACAGAAAAAGTAATTAAAAATAAATAAATTAAACAAAAGAAAAATGTGAGTGTAATTGATGTAGCAAATTCACAAAAAAAACTAAAATAAAACACCCAAATTGTAATATTGATTCACACTAATTTATAATTATGAAAAAACAAATAAAGTAGAAAAATGAAGTGTAATTAGAGAGAAGAAGTACCAGCAATGGTGAAGAGTGTGAAGTGAACATAAAAAACAGAGAGGAGAGAGAAAGTGTGAGTAAAGAGAGAAAGTGTGAGTAGAGAGAAAAAGAGAGAGACGGTTGTGATAGGAAAAAGAAAAGCAACGGTCAAAAGCTGGAAAAGTGAAAAATTAAAGAAAAGAAAATACATTACTAAAAAATTAGGGGGGCAATAATAATAAAGGAGGAAAAGTGGTCAATGTGTCATTAATTGTAATTCCCACACAACCATACAAGCATCAAATATCAAGAAGTTGAAAAGTGAAGTAATCCTAAATAAACCACAAGCAAACAATCAGCGAGTTTAGATACAAAAAAAAGGGTTTTTTTAAAAAAAAATTTAGCCGGAGGGAAATAACAAATGGGATGAACATT